ATTCTATACAACTGGCCCATTTAAAGCAAATAATTCAGTGGTTTTTAGTACATTCGCAAAGTTGTACAACCATCCCTATTATCTAATTCTAGAACAATTTCTTCAACCAGAAAGAAACCCACTGCTCATCAGCAGTCACTCCCTGTTCTTTCGTCCTCCCAGCCTTTGGCAACCACTAATTTACTTTCTGTCTCTATGGATTTTTATGGAAATGGAACCATAGGATATGTGTGTCCTTTTGTGTTTTTCACCTAGCATGTTTTCAAGGTGCATCCATGTTGTAGCATGTGTTAGTACTTTCTTTCCTATTCATGGCCAAATAATATTCTGTTGTGTGGATATGCCACATTTTATGTATCCTTTTATCAATTATTGGATGTGTGCATTGTTCCCACATTTTGGCGATTACTAAGAATACTGTTGTGAACATTCAGGTACAACTTTTTTTGTGGACGTATGTTTTCAGTTTTCTTGGAATTGCCAGGTTATATGGAAGCTCTATTTTAGATCTTTGAGAAGCTGCTAAACTGTTTTCCAAAATGGTTGCACCATTTTATATTCCCAGCAATGTGCAAGGATTCCAGTTTCTCAGTACATTTGCCAACACTTGTTATTAATCATCTTTTTTTATTATGGCTATAATCGTATACCTAGTGGGTATGAAGTGGTATCTCACATGGTTTTGATTTATATTTTCCAGCTGATGAATGATGTCAAGCATCTTGTCATTCTCATTGGCCATTTGCATATCTTCTTTGGAAAAGTCTATTCATGTATTTTGACCATTTTTAATTGGGTTGTCTTTTTTTTTTTGTAAGAGTTCTTTGTATATTGTGGATACTGGTCCTTTACCACATATATGATTTGCAGGCATTTCTTCCATTCTGTGGGTTATCTTTTCACTCTTTCGATGATACATATCATTTGCAGTGCAAAAGTTCTTAATTTTGATGAAATCCATTTTATTGATGTGAGAAAACTTTTCCTTTGATGTTCCTTTATAATGTTGTTTTGGGGTATTTTTTGAAAACAATTCTCAGCAACTTTATCAATGTAAAGTGTATGCTGACTAAAGCAGAAATGCAGTAACTTATCATTTATGTTTATAATAGGTTTAGATTCTTACCTCTCCACCACTAATCATACCAGCTCTGCTTCCCCATTGTGAGCATCCTGATGAGGAAAACTAGCATTTATTCCTACTGATGTGACAGTATGTGTTTATCATGAAAGACTACCACATGTATGGGTGGAGAATATTTATGCTCTTTTATGTCTGTACATGGAAAACACATCACCTGTTTCCTAAACAAAAGGAGTCATTTTACGCCCTCACAATGGTGGGGCTTGGAGCTTTTACCTTCTCACACCGGGAGCTTAGTTGCTCAAGCCTTTCCCTTCTCCATCTCTTCAGTGCCCTTCATTCTGAAGTTAATGCTCAGTTGGTTGGTGTGGAAAATGTGATCTCGGTATAAAGAGCTAGAAAAGGAATCACCTCATTCCTGGAACTGCCTCCCTGTGGGTGAACACAATGCCTTATCTCGTTTCCTCCGAGTCACCCAGAGCTGACTGATTTCTGCCATCCGGCCTCGCCGAGTTTTTGATCCATCCCTTTTTCCAGGTTTCAGGGCAGTCCCTCTGTTTCGGGTCCTGGCTCTCTGCTTTGTGAAGTCTGGGAGCCTAAAGGGGTTGGTTGGTTGGTTGCCTTAATTTCATTTAACAGAGCCTATACAATCTCCACACCCCAGGCCTCGTCCTCTTTGTCCAGGGACCTTGCACTCAACTTGCAAGCCTCTCCTGGTAGATGTCCCATGGATCTCTTTAGCCTTCAGCCCGGGCCAGGTCACCTCTCTTCCTGTCCCTGGCTTTCTCGGTGCTGCTCCATGTCACTGTGTATCCCCATCCCCATGCTCATTTCTGTCTGTCACTTACTGCAAACCTTTCAAGAAGTGACCTTACCTAACACTCAGCTTTACATCTATTTTCTGTCAAGGTGTGTCCATTGGGTATCAAGAGCTAGTCTGGACTGAGAATAGGAATTAAAACCAGGAAAAGAAGCTGTTTTCTCATAGAGCCAGATTATGAAGTATTTAGGCCAAGAGGAATCAGACCTCATTTACATCATTTCTGAAAAGAATGAATTACTTGATAATCTAATAATATAAGACTCTTTAAGTTTATAGCTTAAAACATATACCCAAGAAAGGTATTCTTTATTCATGTGTCATCTGCCCCTGTTCCATGCCCACCAACAAAATTTTTAAATGCATTAAAAAAAAAAACACAATGCACTTTTAACCTCCGACCACAGAATACCGTTTCTCATTGAAGTGTTCAGGCAAAGAACTTGTGCTGTAAAAGAGTGACAGGCCCTTTGGCCCTTCAGGTGTCACTGTCCTTCCAGGAGGTAATGTGGGCCTCCCTCCTGGGCTTCCTTAGATCTAAAACCCCAGTAGGGTTGTTGGTCAATCTTTGACTGACCATTCACCCCCCCGCTGCCACCACCAATTTTCATGACCTAAACTATTGTGTATCACTGAGCATAAATACAGTATTGATCCTGTTCCCCGAGGTAACACACTCTCCCATAAAGCCAGGTCACCTGAACAGAGGTGCTGAGCTGCAGCACCTCCTGGGGTTTCAGATACTGGTCCCCGTTTGCAAGAACAGCACCCATTCTGGTTTTGCACATGGTGAGTTTCAGATTAAGACTGAAAGCACAGGGAAGCGTTCTGGCCATCACAGGCCCGGAAGTGAGGCTTATTCCCGAGACTCAGGCACAGCACGGTCCTCTACCCCTGCACTGACCCGCATTCCCTTTGCAATCCAATCGCAGCCACTGAAGACAGTCCGGAGCGCCGTGTCAGTGCCGTTGCAGGGGAGGCCCCTTCCCGGCGGACGCAGGCCGGAGCTCTCAGCGCACACACCTCCGCCGCCGCGCCTGGGACGGTCGCGGGGACTGGGGAGCTCGCGCTGCTGTCTCTCTCCAACGCGAGCACGACTTTGGGGGCGGCAGGGCGCTCTGCGACAGCGCCCAGGGAAGCAGAGAGCGCCACACCGCGCGGGAACGGGACCGGGGCCGCCTCTGCCACCGCGCCAGCCGCCGCCCACCCGGGCACAGGGTCGCTGGCTGCCTCGCATACCCTCGGAGGTGAGGCAGGATCTCTCCCCATGCGCCCTCAGCTCACCTGTTAGTGTGTGTGCACAGTCCCAGAATGACGATGGTCACTGTCCATCCTGAGAGCACCTGACCCGCTCTTTATGAAGAGCCCCTGCTGGATTCTTCCCTGGCCCAGCCTGGTGTCCCCCCTGCCCCCCCGCTGGCCTGGGACTTTGCGATGTTGCCACAGTAAAGGAGCGCGGCCTTGGCCAAGGCCAATCTCCCTGGCCCTTCTCTCATTATACTGAATGGAAAGTTGGGAGGGGTTTCCTTTTTCCATTTAGGCAGAGAGGCTGTTCTAGTTGGGGTCCTAAGAGCTTTTCAATATGATACCAGTTTGCCACTATCAAAGCTCATGGAAGGAACTGGATCCTCTGGCCCCACTTTTATTTCCATTTCCACTGCTGCCACCAGGCTTCTCACTGGAGCGTAAGTCCGCTCAAGGCTGACTGATCCTTGCGGCCTTCCCCTGCTGTCTATCCAGAGTGCCGGCCATTGAAAACCACTCTCCCAGGAAAGTGTTTCACCCACTGGCATTCACAGATAGGACATTGAAAGTCTATTTCATAGTGTGTGTGCAGGAGATTTCTTGTTTTGTTGACCCAACTTTAATTTTTCCATTCATAGTCACTGGAATTAGCCATGATCAAGTGAGTGGCACAGATATTGACCAAAGGACTTCCAGCGACCGCACGGACCACACCTATGTGACCTCTGCTATCACCAAAGGAGAACGGGCTTTACTGTCCATTGCAGACAACAGCTCGTCCTGGGACATAAGGGAGAATTCCACCTCTTCAGTTAAGATCTCAAACTCTTCACATTCCAACTACTCTTTCTTTTCTCCAGCTCAGACTGAAAGAAGTAATGTTTCATCCTATGAAGCGGAACACGCTCAGCCTTCCACTGAGTCGCTGGTGCTGCATGCAGCCAACCCTCCATCCTACACCCCTGCCATGAATACATCAGACACTACAGCTTTTTTGGATGTGGACGCTGGGTGGGCTGGTGGTGCGTCTTCTTTGGGGCCCCCTTTGCCTCCACCTTCAGTGTCACAGTCCCACCAGATATTCTCATCAATCTTAGCCACAACCAGGGCCTCTGCTCATGCAATGCAGTCCAGCCCTGATGCACCCACATCTTTGTCTTCCTCACCACCACCTCTACCAGTATCCCTGACAGCTTCCACCCCTTCCTCACTGTCTACTGCCCAAACAACTGTACCGCCTTCACCTTCTACCCTGGCCATGCCCAGGGCAAAGGACTCTCCTGTGATGTCAGTTTGGACGTCGACAGTGGCCTTATCCACGGCAGCGCTCCCCATAAGTCAGACAGCAGATCCTGAGAATCAGAGCAGCACACGCCCTGAGAAAGTTGTTACGGAACTGAAGCCGCCGAACCTGGAGTCTCTGCCCACAGAGGCCACTGAAGCTGTGACAGCGAGGTCTACTTCACGGTTCCCTATGCCCACAGCCCTAAGAGAGGCTTCTGCTGAGCCAGCCCTTCCAGCCACGGGCGCCAGCGTAGCCCAAATGTCTCCAGCTTTGACAACCACTGCTCTCAAGACCTCTCAGCCCCCCATGACCACTCCAAGCCCCCCGACAAGCATAGCAGCTCTGATGGCAGACTCCACACCAGTACAGACAACAGCTGAAAAGCAGCTCTTCCCAACTAGGCCTGAAATTCTAGCCCCACAAATCTCAACAGAAGGTGCTGTCACCACAAAAAGGAGCCGAGTCCACGTAGATGCCAGCACCCGACTGATCCCTCTGACTAGTGTGCCCACCACAAGGCTTGGCATTACAGAAGAGCACAGCCCCGCTTCCCATTTCCTCAGAACATCCTCTGCCCAAAGCACAGGTGTTCCTACAGCAGAAGCAGTGACTCCTAAGTCTACCACCCTCACAGCTCAGAGCAGCACGGAGCCACCGACAGAGCTGTCCCCTCCAGCCTCAGGTAGCACACACTCACACAAGCACACTGGTTGCTCAGGATCCATGTGGCTGCGTGGCAGTGTCCAGTATTTGCAATAGTGCAGGGTCTGTTTTGTGATCTCAAATGTTTCCTGTTGAAACACTTAAAGCATAAAATGACATCATGGTGGAACTGGTTTTCTCATCTCAGAGTTAAATGATTCTTTCTGAAGAAGGAGGAGAGGATGGCATTGGCCATGTGTGCAGTCAGTAGAGAGTGAGTGTAGTTTATAAAACCCTGTCACTGCAGAGCCTTTTAAGCAGGCCTTTCATTCTCCAAGGCCAGAGTGGGGCAGTGATGTGGGATTAGAGAGTGGAAAAGCCAGAGCCAGGAAGCTTAGGGTGGCCTGAGACATGGAGTGAGTACGTTCTGCTCTCAGACCAGATCCCTGAGCTGCTGAGACCGTCAGCCAGCCCATCAGTCACCCGGGAAAGCCCAGTCTCCTGTTTCTCCCTAAGATTGTGTTGCTAGTTGATAAATGCTGTGGGGAGACACATTCAGTAAGAGGCTGATGAACTGACCTTCTCCCACAGTGACGGCATGAGGTTTTTACACTGTACTTGAGGTTATCTTTGTGCCCATGTTAAAGTTGCTGGTACGAAGGAAGTAAAACCACCCAGGTGATTCTTATCATTGAAGGAAAGGTGGAAGAAAGGATGATGTATCTTTTGATGTCATCTTCAAAATTGTATGTTTGGTTTGTCCAGACCCAGGAGGGAAGTCCGATTTGGTGAAGGGCAAAATGGAAACTGACGGCTTAAGGAAGAAAGAGAGGAGAGAAATGCATTGTAGTGACTAGAGCAGGGAGCTCGGTTAGTGTCCCAGTTCAGCTGCTTAGCCATGACCACCCTATACTCCCCCCCACTGCCAGCCCCACAGGGCCATGATGCTTCAGTGCCTCCTTTGTACCAGTGACCCTAGCACCTCTGGGAAATGAAAGGTGGATGCTTCTCCAGGAAAGTTTAAGAGATCTGCTTCAGGACTCTCAAGGCTTCATTTCCAGAGGCCAAACATATCCCAATACCAGATGGAACATAATTCACAAATCTCCCTTAAAGCCGATTATAGCCGTCGTAATGAGAACTGGGGGCAAGTATTAGTAGTATCATTACTGGCTGTGAATAGGATTTTGGCGACACTGTCCACAGGTACAGTGTTTGGTCATATAGGTGCTATGCTTCTGATGGTGATTTTAGTTGTATTTAAAATAGCAATGCAGAGTAGGACCATCATCTTCACGATTAGCCCATTTGTTTTCAGGGTCCTTCTTTTGGAGTTAGAACTCTTGGCTTCCGCCTTCTTGTCTCATTCTACAGCTGATTTTTGTCCTTGGAGAAATGAGTCCAGTGGGACTCACTGTCACATTATGTAAAGAGAGAGTATTGTGCTCAACTCCGGTTGTTTTTCTAAATGATTGCACAATATGTGGAGCCTCAGTTACATTTTGAGATTTTTGGAAAAGGGAGAATCTTGGAGCCGGGAAGATGGTTGATCAGGGATGTTTTCTCCCTTAAAGTGTATTTTAAATTGGCATTGACTCAAGTAGAGTTTTCTAAGTATCCCAAAAGCAATAAAACAGTCAATCCTGAACTGAGTGCCCTGCAAGCAGGATTTGGGTTTGAACCAGATCTTGCATCCAGAGATCTTGCATCCAATTGCCTGGCTGGTGCATATGTACACAAACTAGTGCTGGTATCCACTCCCATTTGTCTTCTCTGTACCCCTTGAGAACTCACTCTATTTTAGTAGCATGGCCTGTCAAGGCAAGTAAACAGAAATAAGGAAAAATCAAATATTAGTCAGGAGAATTAAATATTTATCCAGAGCCACCTTTGCATCTCCTATGTAATTAACCGCTTTATTCCTGGAATGTGTTTTTAGTTAACAGCTGTGCCACTAGCCCTTGCCGTCATGATGGGAAATGCGTTGTAGACCCCACCAGCCATGGGTATCGATGCGTGTGCTCACCTTCCTGGCAAGGGGATGACTGCAGTGTGGGTAAGAGAAGTAATCTCCAGTCACCTGCCCTACAGTACCTCATTGAGATAGGCAGTAAACACCATTTTCCTCAAAATGTAGGGGAGGGAAATTTTTTAATCAATATTCTGCTTACTTGAGAGCTACCATGCTTATGCGTGGTAATGTCAGACAATAGCATTTACAGGCCTCTGTAATTTGGCTGCATTCTGTGGGCTCCCTATCCTACTGCCACACTGGACCATCTGCAGCTCCCGAAAGAGCCCTCCACTTTCCTGCCCCCTGCCTTCACTGTGCTGGTGCCTCAGCCAAAATCCCCCTACCCCATGTCTGCTTGTTAAAGTCCTTCTAGGCTTAGTCTAGATGTTATTGGAAACAGTTCTTAATTCTCCCATCAAGATCTGCTTTCTCTGTACCTCCAAATCCTGGCTTATGCTGGCAGTTTGTTGTACACACTGATGCCTCCACTTTCAATAGACTGGCAGCTCCTTGAGGACAAGGGTGGTGCCCTGCTCATCTCGGGGGACCCGCTGCACCTAGTGCCATCTGTCTCTCAGTAAGTGCTTGCTGCACTGGGTTGTGATTTTTCTGTCTGCCATAAATTTACAATGGCTTTGTGTTTTCTCCTCTGCAGATGTGAATGAATGCCTCTTGAACCCCTGCC